TTTTTTATGTTGTTAGCTCGCACAAGTTTCGACTTCTGAGGGTTATCGTTTGTAGGGGTGAGATAGCTGGTTAACGGAACATATAAACATAACATACTCATCTTGAATATATGTTCATAGTTTCAGCTGTTTAGCATGTTCACTATGTTGATGACAGGCATAAAAGTTAGAAGCAGGACCGTAGCGAAAAGAAAAACCAGTGGGAGGAGGGAATCCAAATTTTCCCAACCCCACCAGCAAAATTTCCCCACTTTCGAAAAAATGAAAGCCGAGTGATTAGTAACTACTATAATATAGATATTAATTTTCTTAGTCAGCTATCCATAGATTGGCTGAATGCTTATGCCCGTTAGCATATGCACAAACAGAAATAAATTTTGGTAATTATAAAAATAATAATGGGAATTATTCTACTTTGGAACAAGGTCCTTGGTCTTCCACCATATCCACCATGTATAGGAATATTCAATACAAATGAAAGGACACAACACTCAAATAATATTGTGCTTACTGTTTTCTACTATTATTTTTTTTCATCTTCACGGCCCGAAATTTCCCAACTTTTCGAAGTCGAAAAAAACAGCGAAAAGTTGGGAATTTTGTAAAATTGTCACTTCAAAAATTGTGGACTGTTCAGGGCTGTTCCCTTTCTTGGGAGAAATTAAACGTTTCTTAAGTTTTCAAACAACTCAGAATTTCAAAGTATGGGATCTCCAAGGTATGCATGTTATGCATGTCTGGTCTGGATTCCTGGTCATACTGGCCTGGAAGGCAATGAAGCTGCTGACTCTCTTGCAAAGGAGGGTTCATTGGACCAGAACCTGTCATTGGCATCGCTTTGGGCTTTGCCAAACAAACATTGAACACCTGGATGGCAAGAAGATTTATGGACTTCTGGCAGAATCTTCCAGGATTGGCTCACTCCAAGGCGTTTATTCATCCTTCGAAGCTTGATTCCAAACAGTTGTTGAACTACAGTAGGGATGAACTACGATGTCTAACAGGCCTTCTTACAGATCACTGAATCATCACATGCAGAGACTTGGACTGTCGGAAGACAGTGGGTGTCGCCTCTCTCTGGAAAATGATGAAACAGCAGAGCATATACTTGGGGACCTAATCAGGTTCTTTGAGTTCGGCAGATCCGTACTCTCACCATCTGACCTGAAGGACCCCTCACCATACAAACTAATCGGCTTTGTTAAGAAGCTGGGTTTATTTGGCTGAGTGTGAATAAGTGTGTGGGTTGCGGTGGAGGGTCGAATAGACCCTTTAGACCTACCTACCTATGCATGTTGGGAAATCCTAACCTTCTCCTGGTTCTTTCCCTTTTCTTATTACCTCTCCCTTTCTTTTCTCTCATTTTTATATTTTTAATTTTCATTCATTTTTTTACTATTATTTTTTTCTATCTTCACGGCCCGAAATTTCCCAACTATTTCCCAAGTCGAAAAAGCAGGGGGGAGGCTCCCCCCATCCCCCCATCCCCCCACGGCGACGGCCCTGGTTAGAAGTATTTTGCGTGTTCGACGATTTTCTTCTATAGAAAAAAATTAATCAAAGAATTTGCATCAAATCTTGTGTGAGAAATGGAATAAGTTCTCAAAAAAACTTGTTGACAGTGACATACGTTGATTGTACTCCGAGTCAGAAAAATGTTTACAAGCGGTACAAGCTTTTCACAGAAGTTCGAGAAGATGTGAATGACGATGCTGGCCTTGGACACTCTAGCACACCAACAACCGATGAAAATGATGAGAAAGTGAAGAATATTATCATAGAAAATCGTCGAATCACTATTAGAGAAGTTGCTGAAGATTTCGGCATATGCAATTTATTCTGAAATTTTGGGCATGAAGCGTGTGGCAGCGAAGTTCTTTCCAAAATTGCATAATTTTGACCAAAAAACCGTCGCATGAGCATCGCTCAGGAGATGTTGAATGACGTCAACGGCGATCCAGATTTGCTTGAAAAGGTCATAACTAGTGGTGACGAATCATGGTATATGGTTATGACATCAAAACCAAAGTTCAATCGGTTAAATGGAAGAGCTCAGGAAAACGTCCGGTATTGTGAAAAAACAATGCATGGCTTTTGCATCACAATAATGCACCTGCTTACTCATCATATAAATATATTTTCCGAAAACCGAAAATTCACATTATTTTCTAACAGTCCTCGTACGTTATTCGATACTACTCATTCCAACAACTGATATGTTGCTGATTTTTTCTGATTTTACAGACACTGAGCAAAAAATTCTGTGAAGACCCATTATTGGCAAGACCCAGTCAAAAATTGGTAAATCTATATGAATTCCAAGCCACTTTGAAATCTCAAGAAACGAATTGGCAAATTAAACTGCAAAAATGAATATAGTTTAAAAAAATAAAAAACGCGCTTTTAAAGAACATCGAACTAGAGTTAAAAATATTTTTTTTAAGTAAGCTTAAAACAATAACGAATGAAAAATACTAGTATTCTTGTGAGAAAAGCGACGGGCCGTTGATATACAAAAAATATGGCACAAAGCGCCCACGATTTTTTCACAATAATACTAGTATTTTTTGTTCGTTATTGTTTAAAGCTTATTTTAAAAAAAAATGGATTTGAACTTTTTTAGTTCGATGTTCTTTAAAAGCGTGTTTTTCAGTTTTTTAAACTATATTTATTTTTAATTTTTTTAGTTTCGTAGTCTTTTTAAACTATATTTATTTTATCTAAACTTTGGAATCAATCAGCCGTATATTGTTTAGAAAAATGACCATTGATATTTTCCGATTTCGGAGTGGAAGCCTGAAAATCAGCTACCAAGCCCAAGAAGGCAGCAGGCGCGCAAAGGAGGGTTACAAATAAGGCAGCAGGCGCGCGTGTTATAAAAAATACTTTTTTCAAATAAAGAAATACATGTAAAGTGAGGTCGAATTATTTCAAGGGGGTTACGTACAGCGCCATCTGCCCGCGAATAGATCAACCAATAATGCCGATAATTCTGTCAAATACAGATCACGATATGATATGAAAAGGAGCGTTACAAACAAACAAACTGACAAACACATATACATGCATACAGGTGAAGCTAATAAAAGCTTGTTAATGAAATGTGTCCAAACAGGCACAACTAAGTCTTGTCTGATACTAGGATATCAAAATGCATTTGAAAAATATGTTCTTTCAAATGTGGCAAAATGATTGGTTAGATCAGACTCGAAATTATAAAATGTTAATCCTTCGCTGGAACAGGGTTTCGTTCACCTCTCAAACAAGAAAAGATAAGATATTATACGATTGAAGAAGATTGGTTATTTGAGTACTAATCTCACGAATATGTGCATGCTCGCAGAGGAAAAGACAGTCAAAATGGGTCCACTGCAGGTTAACTGTTTAACTGTCAAGCACATTAAGATCGACTGCTTTCAACATTCCGAGATAAGAAATAGAGTTGGAATCCCTGAAAGACATTGAAATATGTTTAGGTTACCACAAAACAGAACAAAAGGCAATCATAAAAAGTTGGAGTTTATTATGCAAAATCCTAAATTCATTTTAAAGTGGTGCTGACTGAAAGCGGTTTTCTACTGCCCGTTAGTACCTTTAATTATTTATGTTGAACATTCTTGTTCGCTTTAAGTTTGACTCATTCATCCTTATGATATAAATAAAAATGAATCAATCTTCTTAACATTTTTCTACAAAATTACTCATTCTTGATAGGCCTGGGGTGGAAGAGCTTGTACAACGTTAGGTATGGAAAGGGTGAAATAATTGTCTGCAATAAATTCGGGCAAATGTTGTGAGATCCGACGTATATTCCATGTAGGATTCTCTTCAATTTGAAAAAAAAACTATCCTAACAAGTAGTCGAATTGGGTCATTTTTCGAATGAGATTTTAATGTTATTCTTAAATCTATCGTCTACGACTATTTCATACAGAAAAATACATCGACTGATGATGATCATCCGGATTGTTATTGTCGAATACGAGTTTCAACTTGAGAAGTTTAGTTACCAAATTTTAGGGAAAACTATCTTTACTTTATTAGCGGAAGAATTGCGTAGTGAATATAAAATTTAATTTTTCAAGATACATATTCTGACTGAAAAGATAAATATAAAAAAAAATTTGTTTTCCCAAAATCTTTATTAACTAATTATTACAAAAGTGTGAATGAGTAGTGAACATTGATTTTTTCAAAATGTTTATTTCTAGTATCATTATTGATGATTGAAACAATGGTAATCGATTATTTTCTTATCAGTCACAAGATAGCCATGGGTGACGCTAGCGTTCAGAAAAATTTATTCGAGTTGACTTTATTAAATGATGCGACCCCATGGTTGCCAACTGCGGTGAAATAATGACATTTGACAATTTGACATTTTGTAATCCTACCTTTCTGAGTTCCTTCTGCATTTTCATTTTTGGAACATATTTTTCCATAGCTAATTCTTCATTCTGGAGCCCCAATTTTATAAAGGACGACTGGAAATCTCTTTTCGGCCATATTCTGGCAATCAGTTTCTCATTTACCAAAAAAGAAAATGCAGAAGGAACTTAGATAGATACGTTATTTATTTATTAGCAAATGTCAAATGTCATTATTTTACCGCAGTTGGCGGTAAAATCGACTTCAAATTGGTGACCATTTTCAATTACGAATATTTCAAAGAGAAAAGAGTTCAAAGATATATCCCTTACTGTTTGTTATAATTGATAAAGACATTAATTATTTGAAATAATAAAAAAATACATGCGTGTTCTCTACTGCATCCAAATATCACTGAAACACAACAAAACTGTTCGATGTGTTTTTCCAGGGTTTCAACTGAAAATATTATAATATTCACTTACTTAAACATTATTTTGAAACAACTGAAAATAAGTTAAATGCAAATATGAATATGCGAAAGCTACCCACCATATGCGATGTAAAACAGGAAACGGAACGTGACAACGATGACAGCACCAGCGGCATCAGCGATTGGATAAATGAACGTACCAAGTTCTTAGAATTCGAATTTCCCGCACTATCTGGCATATCATTCGGGTAAATGTTTCGTTTCCTTTTCCGCTTTGACGAGTGACAATAAAGCACAGGTTAGAAAAATTACTATTGAAAAAGTATTTTGTTCACTTGAATTTTAAGGTATTTCTCGTTAAAAATTATCATAACATTTACCTATTTGCCCAGCAAATATGTATTTTATTTACAGTAGACGTAATTTACAGATTTGAATTCATAAAATTGTTTTACTAGGTTGTGTTAATGCACATGGCATAATTGACACTACTCTATTTTTCAGAAAATGCCGTCTGTTACTTTGAAGGACGTTGACCAACACAAATTCGTAAAGGCTTTCGCCTATTTCCTGAAAAAGTAAGTATTACTTATGTTGCAACGTATATAGAAGTTGAAGTTTTGAAGCAATTCGTTTTCATTCAATGCTTCTGTTTTAGAACTGGTAAACTACGTGTACCAGAATGGGTGGATCTTGTAAAAACCTCAAGAGCTAAGGAATTGGCTCCCTATGATCCCGATTGGTACTACATCAGATGTTCTGCCATTGCTAGGCATATCTACATTCGCTCACCCGTCGGTGTAGGTTCAGTCACGAAAATCTTTGGAACCCGCAAACGTAACGGAACCAAACCTTCCCACTTCTGCAGGTCCGCCGGAAGTATCGCTCGCAAGGCCCTGCAAAGCTTGGAAGCTCTCAAGTTGATTGAAAAATCATCTGATGGTGGTAGGAAACTTACCCAACAAGGTAGGAGAGATCTAGATCGTATCGCAGCCCAAGTGAAAGCTAAGGAGCGAAAGGCTCTTAAAGCATCAGTTATTGCTTTGTAAATGGTTTAGAAGTTATTAAAAATAATGTATAATTGATTTTATTTTTTAATACCACCTCCAATCAATTTTTTATACCTCCTAGTATGTTGCATATATTCTATTTTAAATTCTCAGTGCTGTGAAGTACAAAGTTGGTTTTGCAGATTTCAAACATATATTCATAAATATATTGAATAGAACTGGCCGATACTTGATGAAAATCAATATTAAAAACTAATTGATACAGATTATTGTATGATTTTCACTATAAATGGTTTTACAAGAACTCCTACACGTGTTTCGCTATACAATAGCTTCCTCAATGCTTGAGCTCGCAGCTTTTGTAAAACCCTTTACAGCGAAAATCATACAATAAGTTGTATTAATCAGTTTTTTTATTCATAAATATATTAATCATGAAGTTGTGAAATACATTTAGGTACTTCCAGTGAAAAGACTACAGAAAAAAATTCAGTGTAGGAATTCCTCTAATTTACTTCATAATGAATTAATATTAGTGCACATTAAGTTTGTTAAAAGGTATTGAATACGAAAATATATATTTTTTAAATTACAAACAATTGAATGAGAAAACACAAGTAGCAAAATATGGGCAAAAAGTCAAATGAGAAATTATCCATGTTCAATATAAAAATATTTAGATGATTTTTCCTATATGAAATGTAATTCTGTATTTTAAATTTTTCAAATACTTTTTCAATTGATTTACTAGTTTGAGAGCAGTGTTAGATTATTTTATTTTTTTCAGGAATTGTATTATATGTTGTCGTGGTGTGTACACCACGACGACACTGTAACAATCAATTCCGCCAGCCGATTGTAGTTGAATCTGTTTGACCGGCGTAAGGAGGATTGTTTATTTTACCTAATAGATGCAAATGTGCGTGGCGATCATGCATCTATCATTGTTTCGGATGCTTTTTTTGTTGGATGGATATAGCATAAACTGTATCCAACAAACAAAGATTGATGCATGATCACCACACAAATTTACGCTTGCCAATCAGATTTAACTGCAATCGGAATTTAATAGAATTGGTATAACTTATTGAATTGTTACCAATGATTGTAGGATTGGTACAACTGTTCAACAATCTTTTAAAAATATTCATATATGAAGATTTTTGGAAATTCAGAGTTATCAATTCTCTGAAAACCAATTATTGTGTTTATCATCATGAATTTTGTCAAAGTTATCCAAAGAGTATATAATTGCATCAGCAAATAAATCAACTGATCCATTCACAGGTAAATTAGTTATGTGATGTACTGCGTATAATGTTTGTGGTACCCCAAAATTTATTTTTCTTATGGAACTTTTATGATTTTTTATGCAAACATATTGTTGTCTACCACTAATATAATTTACAAACCAATCAAGGATATTCCCTCTTATGCCAAAATTGTTTAGTCCTGAGATGAATATACCATGATGTATAGTATCAAATGCTTCACTCGAAAAGGCAACATTTTTTATCGTCAATTTCAGTTTGAATTATGTTTGACATAGTAAAGTTTATAAATGAAACTATGTTCTTTTAAGTTTCATTGAAAATTTTTGTGTTTAGGTTAACTGTAGTTGTTTGTTAAGATACAAAATAGTTCTATTTCTAGTTGAATATTCATGGATGCCAAGAGTAAAAAACTGAGTTACGCTTATTTTGATAGTGTAGCATACAATCAAAAACTAGAGACATTGTGGTATTTGCAAATTTTTCATCAGAGAAAATCCAAAGTATTCAAATTGGCGAAACTAAGAGTTATCTACTGAATCAACAATTGGTGCACTACAGAGGCGGAGTTTGTACCAATATTCTCCCACATGATACATAAACAGTTTATGCCACATAGCAACTTTGAAGACCACATTATAAGTTACGCTAACATCCTGAATTATGGAAAAAGATACTGAAATAGTGCACTGTGGCCTTAAAAACCTAACGACTGTATCCTCAGTCTCTCTTTTGTGGGCTAAAAATCTGTTCAGGTAATTTTAGGCTTAGTTTCTGAGTGTTATTTCTAATCTGAATATTTTCAGAGAGGATTTATTCTGGTTTTTAGGTAGCATTATGCTATTTTTCAGCAATCAACTGAATTTTCAATTTAGTGATATGTATCATGACACTACCTACATCTATTTTTTTATATATTGAAAATACATTCTTGGAAATAAATAATCATAGAATTATAGTTATAATATTTATTGTTCAAGTTTTAACGTTGACTTTACATTTCTTGTGCAATTATACTTAATTTGACTAGAAAACAAAATAAAAATACTTTCCCTAGGTGGGGACATAGATAATATGGTCATATTAAAAAATACGTTCTTCTTTCTTTATGCACGAACTGCAATAAGCATGTACAAAATTTCATCCTATAGCCTCGTCACAACTATTGCAAACAAAAGTGTTACAATTTTGAAGAAATTTTTGATATGACCACATTTTGAGCATTATTCCTACATTCACCAGGTATACCTAAATTTCATACAAAGGACATATTTGATTTGAAAATTTGCTTAAAAACAATCAGTATACAAAAGATATATAGAAAGACTTTGTAAAAAAGAGAAAAGCATCAATATTGGATTTGGATTATTGATAATTGTCAGGACCCTCTATGGCGTTTTATTGCCAACTTTTTTAATGATTAAGATTGGCACTATATTGTACTAACTTAATTTGAAAGTTCTATTTCATATGGAAATTTTAAAGTAGTATTCCTATATTTTTTTGGGATTTTGACTTATTTTCTCTATTAGGGAAACTAAAGGGACGCGAGTCTAAAAACATGTCATTCTATGTTTTTGGATTTGAAATCTCTCTCTCATAATGAGAAATATCTTGGGAAATAACATGTTTGACAGATAAATAGGAATAACTACATTTTTTTTACAGTTGATGTTGAACTTTGCATACTTGAAGATTTTTCAAAATTATTTCATCTCTGTGAGCAAAACATGCACGTTCCTTTCTTCACCGATTAACTCAGTGATGTAATAGGTATACAATCTAACTTTTTTTTTTCAACGGCTTTGAATCGATGGATTTCATCATACTGTTCTTTTTGCCATCTCTGTAAATTGATGAATTCCACCAATCACATTGTGACCAATGCCAATAAATCTCCAGTAATAGTGGAGCTAATTAAGTTTATACAAATGAACTTTCAGAAGTATTTTAACAGTGTTCATTATTTCATATATGAATCAAAATATGGAGAATTTGTTAGTATTCATGGCATATTAATGTCAGAAAACTTATTGAGGACCATAACATTGTCATTTGTCAACTCCAGTCACTGTTCCTTCTTTATAGGATTCATCATGAACTAATTAATGACGTCATTTGACATGCTTAACGATTAATCAGTGAAATTATTCTGATGAAAAAAGATGGTTCCTATCTTGGTCCCTACATTTTCAATACTTTAACCTCAACTGTTCTAATTGAAAAAAATACATTTGACACGAAATGTTGCTTTAAAATTCACGATAAATATAAAGCTCGCAATAGAAATATCACCAAATGAACTTGTTTAGAATTAGAAAATTGAAATAAAAGTTTTTTCGTCTCACGTCGAAAATATTTCTCATCTCAAGAACGGCGAGAAAAATCATTTTATTTGATCTATTTCACGCACATATTCTATAAAAAAAGATTTTTACGAATTATAAAGAGTTTGAAATTTAGAAAATAATCCTCATATTTTCTATCACTATAAAGGAATGTAAAAATAACCTGCCTTGAATCATTAAGAAACCTAGATGAAATTATTTTGAAAAAGGTTCCAAATAAGCAAGTTTTTTCTCATTCTACTTCTAAATCTAATACATATCTGTTTATCAACAATGTGATAGATTTACTTTGTATAGGAAGACATCTCTAGGTGAATAAAGCAAAACACAGCAATTATATTGAGGAACATTCAGTTCCCACCCATTTATATAAAACAAGATCACATTGTGAAAAGGGACTGACCTTCATAAATGATGAAGTATGTTCTATTGAAACTTGCAACATTTTACATAATATTTTTTGTAAAAGGTAAGGTTTCAACCTCTTGACTGAATTATAGAGCAGGGTGGGGGTATGTTGATCATCAATAGAATATAATTATACAAATGGACTCAATTGGTTCAAAATATATTGAAGAATTTGGAGTTTCGAAAATAATTAGTCATTTATATTGAGAAGAATTATCACATCAGATATATTCAGTCAATCTTTCATATAAGGCAAGGGAGAGAATTCGAAAACACGTTAGTGATAATATAGCAGGAAATATTCAATGGGCAAAGATTAATTTGGCTTTCCTTATTACCAGCAATTATTCAAGCTTAATTTAAATTAGTATTTTTATAGTTGACTCAGATCACTACTATCACATAAAACTGAAAAAATTAATATTATAAATTAAAATGAATTAATACGCAGAAGGTGTGAAATTCAACTTCATGTATGGGGATTTCAAGCAATAATTCTCTTAGGCAAAGTTGAACTTTTTCGAACTTCAAGGTTAAAAAATAAGAATCACAAGTATTTTTTTCCTTTATCAGAAGTAAAGGATGAAACTCAAATAGTTTGACGAGTTGAATATAAATCTTACTTAAGCATTCCTTTACAAAAAACTGTACTAACTGCTTGGCTGAGTATGGAAAATACAATTGAATATTCCACAAAATTGATATTCATGAGAAAATACACTACAGAGTAAATATATATTATTGAGAACAATATCAAAATAATTTTTCAGAAAAAACTCGAATTTTTCATCAACTCTACTAGTAGTAGTTGTTCTTTTGATATCATTTGCGGGTGTTTTTTTCATTCAGTATATATTTATGCAATGAATCAATTATGATATTCAATCAATCAATTATGATATTCAATCAATCAATTATGATATTCAATCAATCTACAAGATCGACATTATTTTCTATTTATTTGACTCGCGGCATAGAACTAAGGTGTTTCTACATGTGTATGCCTCTAAAATCTGACCCCAGTATGGCAAAACATGAGAGAGAAGAT